TCTCCATAACGTGGCCCCTCTTGGCTTTTCCGATTTCCCCCCTTTTCTCAAGAGCTCTGTGCGTTAGCAAACCAAATATTCCTCCTCACCAGGTATGTTCTGTGTTTGCATTTAAAACTTCCTTATGTGACCCACTCTGTTGGAAGTGTCCTCTTTGCCAACTTTTATCTTTTAAGCGGAGCTCAGACCCTGCTTCCTCCATAAAGTCAGCCCTGAGCTGTCGCAATGCTCGCGAAGGGCTTCCTGTGACGGCGCTGCTTCCTCCTTGGTCTGAATCCTGCTCTTCCCAGCGGCCCTGCTGGCCCTGCGCGCACAGCGGCCGGCGAGAGACCTGCCCTTTTCTCATCGCTGGGTCTGCTTTTCGGCGCTGGTTTCTTTGCGGCCAGGTTACAGGCTTGACATTTTTACTTCTCAAAACATAGTCTGAGTTTGTTTATGGTGAGATACCTTATTTATAACATTAAATTTAGCAAACGAGTCAAGAGATTTAAGTGCACATAGATTGCCCTTCCCCGTTCCCCCCATGCAATATGCTAATTAATGCAATGAACAAAATGTATAACTTTTTATAAAGTTTTTAATTGTACCTTTAGGAAGTGAGATTTACATAAACTACGCAGGTATAATTGAAATCTGAAGTTTAAAAATTTTCTTACAGTAAATACCTACTTGCTCTCAGTCCAGTTCTTTCCATGACCTGTTTTCTCCCTTTTGAGCTAGATTTACATAAACCACTGGTAGGCATGGGGTGGGGGGCGGTGCTTTGGGAGTGAATGGGGACAGGTGTGAGCAGAGTTGGAAGAGACCTTAGGCAGTGCATCTGTACGTGGGAGAACTGAGCATCACGCATGACGTGCGTATCGCTTAGGAGTCACTTAGGACCCTGTGTTGCCAATTTCATCTGAACTCCTGGGTCAGACTACACACGGCCTCACTGAGCCAGGAACTGAGCCAGAATCCAGGAGGCAATTCCACTCTGGACGCCTCCCCTCTGCCCCTCGTCTCTGTGACCTTGACAAGGCGTTTCTTCTCCTTGCAGTTCACTTTTCTGCTGTCTCAAATGGAGAGATTGCGTCTGTCTACCTCATAGATTTGTGAAGGACTTCTTACTAAATGTCAGCTCTCAGCATCACAAAGGGCAGAGTGTAAGCCCAAGGCAATGCATTTTCATAGAATTTTCAGCTGGGAAACCATTTCCTCTTGTTCAGGGCAAACATAGTACATTGACAGCTCATAAAATGTTAGTTCTCTTAGCTTTGAATCTGTGCTTTAAAATAATTTAGTTCAAAAGGGAAATTATTTTTTTTAAAGTTTCCTGGTTCAACTTCATATTGCATGCACGCCTTCCACGGCCAGAAACACATGTCCTTAGGTTCCAGAGAGGCATCCCAAACCTCTTCCTTCCTTTCATTCTCAGAGTAAAAGACAAATTTAGGGTTTTTTTTAATCTTAAGAATGTCCTCAATCATGTATATTTTCATATCAAAAAGGGAAAAATAGTATTTAACTGTTTTGCTTATGTTTAAACAGGCTTTTCCCAGTGGGAAACAGTTAAAGTTGGTGTCTCAAAGGGATAGCAGATAGGAACCTCCCTCAGGATTCTGTAGTGGGCGGCTGCCTTGTTTCCCTAGCAAAGGACCCTTCGCGGCCTCCACCCCAGGCCCGGAGTGTGTGGTCCTGCTCGGGGAGGACCCAGGATAACTGGGTGCCTCCCGGGCCCTAGCACATCTGGGGGGAGAGCCTTTCCTTTTTCTTGATGGACTGGGATCCATGTCCTTATCCTGAGGATGAGGCATCCGATGGACATCTCTGGGAGTAATTGTGTCCTTTACAGGTGTGTCCTGGTAGTCCTTTCGGGCTAAAATACCGCAGGCTGGGAACCTTGTAAACAGCAGAAATGTGTTCCTGCTCCCAGTCCTGGAGGCTGGGAAGTCCGAGGTCAGGGCAGCCTGCTGGTCTCCCGTGCGGGCTGCCTTCCTGGGAGGGAGCTCTGCTGGGTCCTCGGAGGACGGACAAGACACGCATCCCCCTGAGCGCTTCCCCGAGGCCCTCCTGTGAATGCTCAGGTCTGCGGGCCTCAGGGCTGCACACAGGAGTCTGCGGTGGGGGAGGGGACACCACAGACCACAAGTACACTTGTCTATAAGAATCATCTTTTGCACAAATCGTAGGAGAAGGCAGCTACCTTCTTAAAACTTCTCATTGTGGCTGTCCCCACTCAAGGACCAGAGGAGCTCACTGTTGGTTACCTTTTACGTCCTGTTTCCTCTGCTTAATTTCCAAGATTTCATCCTTTGTCTCTCAAATCCATTTTACCTGTGAAAACACCTCCCTGCCGTTTAACTGCTTCCTGTCTGTTACGCTCAGACTGTTTGCTTTCCTTCCCTTCCGTTTTTCAGATCTCATCTGTCCTTTAAAGATAAGCTTAGGTGTGTAGCTCCAAAGCCTCGTCCTGCTGCTTTGTCCCCCGGGAGTAGTTCCTTTTTCCAGAATTCCTTTTCCCTCTGTGATTTGCTGAGCATTTGTATTGTGTGTGCCGGTGTTTTCTTTCTTTTCAGCTAAGTCCTTTCAGACGGACACCATGCTGGCTCTTTTTGTCATGTGTCCGTAAATATTTTTAATGCTGCTAATGACTTTAGGTGCGTAAGCAGGTGAAATCACGTTTAGAAGGAGTTCTTAGTCACTTTACCAAGAGAGTAAGAGAAAAGAAATGGAATTTACTAAAAATACTGTGAATAAGAGTATGCGAGGGTCTTCTGCATTTGCAATACAAACTAAGCAAAAAAACGGCAACATCAGAGTCGTTTTTACCCAAGTGTGGATAAAGCCCACCAGCACAACCAAATGACCAGCTAGGAAGTCAAGCATGAGTATGACTTTAAAACTGGAAAAGCTATGCTACATTTAAGGAACTTTAAATTTTGATAATCCAACCACAGCTCAGGATAACTTTGTTAACACAGGGATTCTCGTTTAAACATACACAGTAGCCGCCAGATCTCATGCGGCTTCCAGAAGGACCTTTAAAGTGGCTAGAACCCAGCAGGGACGTCCCAGCACATGCAGGATTACTACATGGTTTCACCAGGTCATCCCCTGGCCACACGGTCATTGGAAGGAGTTCATGACCCTTCCACATTTTTGCAGGTTTCCTACAAAATTCCTCTTCCCTCGGAACCTCCAGGAGCTCGGCTCTTTTCCGTCTCCAGTTTTTCTTGACAGTCTGGTTTTTCCGGGTGAGCGTGGGCTCTCCCTGTCCTCAGGCTCCCAGTCTGGGGCCTGGGGGCTGGTGCAGGGCCGGGGGTCTGGGACTCTTCTTCCTGCCGGAGCCCAGGCACTGATGGGCTTCCTGGTTGGCCGGGTCGCATGGAGGTTTTCCATCTCATCCCTTGTCCGTCTAGAGCTGCTGCCCTTCCCAGAGCGGCATTGACAAGGAGATGCGGATTCAATGCAGGCCCTGTGAGCACTCACCCCCTTCTTCCTTCCTTCCTCCTTTGGCAGAGTCTCTATCACCAGAGCAGAACTAAGGGGACCAGGGAACACCAGATGAGGCTACAGTAGTAGTGGCCACCTCAGATAACACATTCAGATGGAGGTCATTGAGTTATCACAGGGATTATAAGATTTACTTAACAATTGTTTAAAACTTCTCTTTTATTTGTTTATTTTTTAAAAGTCTCAGTTGGGCCGAAACCGGTTTGGCTCAGTGGCTAGAGCATCGGCCTGTGGAGTGAGGGGTCCCGGGTTCGATTTCGGTTAAGGGCATGTACCTGGGTTGTGGGCACATCTCCAGTAGATGTGCAGGAGGCAGCTGATCGATGTTTCTAGCTCTCTATCTCTCTCCCTTCCTCTCTGTAAAAAATCAATAAAATAAATATTTTTTAGGTGTTTCTGTTCAAAAAGTCTCTTTTTATCAGAAAACTAGAGGCCCGGTACACAAAATTCATTCACTTGGGGAGGGTCCCTCAGCCCAGCCTGCCCTAAACCAGCAGTCAGACATCTCCCGAGGGGTCCCAGAGAGGGTGCAGGCTGGGTTGAGGGACAACAACCACCCCACCCCCCCGCACAAATTTTGTGCATCTGGCCTCTAGTATATCTATAATTACAAAAACAGTAAATGGACTAAATGCTCAGTTAA